AAGATACTTTTTGCTCAATAAGCTTTGACAGGTGACATAATAAAATGATTTGTGTGTAGGTAAATTTATCTATTTCTGCTGTCTAATGATTTGATTTTTTTTAAGGTATTATATCACCATATTTGAAACTACCACTAAAGTTGACCCAGATCAGTGATTAGGAGTTTGAAGAATACTTTTGTTGATTTGCAGGAAAATTTAAGAAAACCTGTGTAAATTTCAGGAAATGTTTGGAATAAATATAGTATTGTTATCCGCTGTCATTGCAGCATCACTTTGCAGAGCACAGCAAACTGAGGATACGGAATTAATGCAACTGTAATACTTCTGTTTTCAAAGAGTTACAAAATGACCTGGAGAATGACATCTTCCTTATAATGAAAAGAATTATAGCTTTTGTACCTTGTTTTTCGCATAGATTATTACAGTGTATTATCTTTTTTGCTTTAAAAACACAAAGAATTATTTTAGGTTTGAAAAGAGCAACAGTACATTAGGTAAAGAAAACGGGTTGTTATTGGAGGTATACTACAACTTAATTCTGTTGTTTCAATGAGGAAAACATTTGCGAGTTCTGGTCGTTTATCTGAATATGCACAAAAATTTGTATAGCTATATTTTTTTCTGGACACAAAAACCTAGGACACTTAAAAATATTTACTGCTTTTGAATGTTTCTCAGCAAAAACGACCTCGACACCTGTTTTAACGATTCCTCTTTAATCCCTGAAAATCATAGCACAAATTGTATCGTTTTTCAGAAGGGTATGGATTTTAGCATTTTTCTTTTGACATTTTTACTTCATCCTTAAAAGCAGTTGTCGTAGCTGCGTAAAAAGAAAAGTTAAAATCTAAAAAAATTAAGTTTTGTCTTAGCATGATGAGCCTAGTGTGCAGAATGCACCTTGGGTAGGATACCAGGCAAACAGATATGAGTTTCTTCCAAACAGCTTCAACTGGCTGAATTACGGAGCTCCAACTAATGTGAAAACGCAAAGTAACTTTTTTTTTTCAACTTGACACACTTTTTAAACAAATTTGCCTTTTACTTTTAGCAACGTTTATGTGATATGCTACCGCTTGTAGAAAGTGTGGCGTTTTATTTGTTGGGCATCTGATGTAGATTTGGCGTTTCATACAAAAGTTTATACGCCTGAGTTTTCTTTTTTTTTTTTTGTTTCGAAACAGAAATTAAATGCAGGGACACCTTTTCTTAAGCGATATGAGTACTTACTGTTTTCAAAGTAAAGTGAGGAAATGCAACGCTTGTTGGGCTTACGCGGTGGCAGGCTTGGCTGAAATGATGTACTTCGTAGACTATAACCGTCCGTATCGTCCGTCACTAAACTTCAGAAATTTTTTTGGCAGACCAACAACATTTTCGGAGTACGAGCTTCTGTTGTGCTACGGAAAAGGTGACTGCAAACATCGCAGTACACAGTATGCATTAGAGTAAGTTTTTTTAGTTTTGTCTTAAGCTTTGTATAAATGACTACATGACGTCAATTTTTTTGAGTTGGTCTGCTTGTCCTGAGTGACCTAGCAAATTACTCGCTATAATTGTTAGAGATATGTAGTTTTTAAACTGTTTGCGAATGTTTGCGAGTTGCAAACGTGAACATTATGAAAAAAACTTATCACATGTCATGAAGAAACGTCATGTCGTGCTTCAGAACATTCTCCTGTAACCCACTGTTCACTCGAAATCTTTAGTATTACAGGTACGGTTACAGTCATGGATTCGTGCCAATAAACAACTACTTTCCAAAGATGCCTTGCCCTGGACCTACACCCTATAAGTTTCAGACACTTTATGCAATCAAACCTGATGAAAAGTCAATCATGTCTTACATCGTTAACCGTGGACCTGTCATACTGCGTTTGTACAATTTCCTGTTATTGTTGATCACCTTACCGTATTAAAAGTAGTTAAAATGCAAACGTGGTAACAATAATTTTTTGTTGGTTTTTATAACTAAGAAGTACTTAAATCTGGTAGTTAGGAACATTTTAAATTTCTTTGCCATCCAAGTTGTTCAGTTTTTGTTGTACCCATTGATGGGTGGTATTTAATGCTTATTTAATGGAAGAAGTTCTTCTCATAGCTAAAAGCAGTTTTCTTTTTATGTAAATATCTTTATCAGTTTCCGCAAGATATTTACGGTGCATAATTATGACACTCACAGATCAAACCGTACTAGAGTAGAAACTCGAAATACAATTAAACTTGATGGTAAATTTGATATACTGGTCTTTAAGCTTAAAATACTGATCTTTTTTAAACACTTGCACTTTACTATATTTTTGCAAGCCTCCAAGATAGCCGCTTTTGAATCGCAGTTTAGATTAGTTTTTTTACACAGCTTTTGAAAACTGCTAATTACCTTACTACGACCAAATACAAGGAACTTTTGGGGTATTTTATAACTGGTTCCACAAAAAACCATTACTAAACACACCATAACCTAAGAAGTTGATTTGCAACGTTCTAAGAAGCACCGTCCCTTTAATCAATGTTCAAATTAAAAGTATTTGAAAAGTTAAGATGGAGAGGGGTTGAGACTTTACGGAACGACTGATGGGAAAAATTTTGCTTTATGAAATCAATTTTCTGGCGGGAGTTTCAAAATATTTGAAAAATACAGCAGAAAATTAGCACTGTTAAGGGTACCGAGTAGTTTTCTAATGGAATTTGTTGTTAAGCACATTGCATTCCAAATCTTTGCTTCCAAAGTATCAAACCTTGTTTTAAAGGTTTTATTTGATAGAATTTTAAGTAAGCGGATTTTCACCCTACGTGAAATATAATGTGTTGTGTGAACATTTTTTTGCCATATATGTAAAGAGAACAATTAGGGAAAAAAATGTGAAAAAACTGCGGCAAAATAATTTTTCAACAATTTGCAATTAAATGTTTTAACTGAGTAGAAAAAGTTTTAAAAAAACTAAATTTTGCAACTTTTTTCACATTTAAAACATTTAATTGCAAATTGTTGAAAAATTATTTTGCCGCAATTTTTTCACATTTTTTTCCCTAATTGTTCTTTTTACATATATGGCAAAAAAACATTGGTCATTTGTTTTATCGATGGCGTCTTTTTTCTCTAAATTTTTTTTATAAACAAATTTTTTCAGACTTATATCTACCCGTACAACTACTAAAGAATTACATTGGTTCTGGAGTAATAGGACCATTCCCGGAATGTAAAGATAAAGTCTCAAATCATGCAATGGTTGCTGTAGGTTTTGGGGAACAATTCGGTATGAAGTATTGGCTTTTGAAAAACAGTTGGGGAATTGAGTAACGTTTTTTAGCGTTTTATTTCTGTCTTCATTTTTATTTGCTTATGGATTTAGAAACCCAGGTTAAATGTTTTTTGCTTTAGAGGAAGGAAAGGAAACTAATTTTTGACGGTTTTATTGCGAGAATGATAGGAAATCAAATATAGCTGAAAAAAATTAGATTATGCGGTAGTGATAATTCTAGTAACTTTTTTACAGTTGGGGAGATTATGGTTACATAAGATGGCGACGTGGTATTAATGCTTGTAACATTGAAGCCAATCCAGTCGGCGGATCATTTGTTGTACACCCTTGGCAAGACCAATTTTAAAGCAGCTTAAGAAGCTGTACAACATCGAATGCTTGAAGATCGTGGAAATCATAAAATGAACAGTTTTTTTTGCTTGTATTTGTTTATTGTTATAAAAGGTCAAAACAAAACAAAAAGTCAAGACATTGCTGACAATTATTACCATATTTACACTATGGGTATTTTTTGGAAGGTATAAACGCAGTCTTTATGAAAGAAATAAACAGCTATGTTTGATATTTATCCAAAATCTAAATGTTAGATGTTTTATTTTTTTGTGGCTTTTGACTGTATTGTAATAAGACATTTTTTTCAAAGCTGTCAAATATAGGATTAACATATGAGGGTATGGACGTTAGACGCCGATTACTGATCTGCTGCAAATGTATCTTTGGGTCTGATTGTATCCAACAACACTACGTATGGTTATCAGTGGCGAATTTTTGATTATCAACGGCTGCATAAAATTAATTCAGAAACCAGTTGATTTCAAAAACTTTTAGTATCAGTTACTCTAGAAACTGGGTTGAGCATTCTCATTTTTTTTTGTTGAGTCATAGAAAAGAAATCAGATAAATGGCATGTTTTTGTTCACTTTTTTTCTTCTATTAAATTCTTCAAGAATCATTTTCATTATTGTACGGCAAAAAGAAAAAAAAAACACCAAAAAAAAAAGTAAGTTTTTTTAAATGGCTCTAAAATAAACCAAAATAATAAATTTTTTTTGGTTCTTAGATGTATCTGAATTGTTGGTCAATTTTTATCAATTTTGTAGTCTGTAAGCTTATTCAACTTCCAATCTACAGTAATATACATATGTAAAATTATGACAAAAAAAAGTGTCAACCATTAATTGTTGTCGATTACTTTTTTTTTTTGCATCACCAATTGCTTAGCTTTGATAAATCAAAATAGAACTAACAAAACAAACTCTTAAAAATTAAAATTAATGGAAAAACTTGTACTTTTTTTTTAGAAAAAGGCCAAAAAAAACAATGAATAAAACAAAATTATTAAAAACACTTTTAGCGACTGAAAAAACTAAAATTTCTTTTTGATTATTTTATTGTTGGTTGAAAAAATAAATTTTTGAAATAGCCTAAACAACTAAATTTAAGAAATAAAACTTGTAAGAAGCAGTCAACAGTTACTTTAATTTTTTCTAACTTTCTTTAGACCATTCTTTGTCAACCAGTCAATTAGACAATACTTTTAGTGAGCCGCTTTATTAACCGATATCACCGATCGTTGATTTACGTTTTCTGGAATATACATCAACAAAAAAAAAAAAAAATTTTTTTTTTTTAAAGCGTGAAGGATTCTAGAAAAGAAAAAAAAAAGCAGCATTTATTCGCATTCAAAGCACTATATGTTTAAAAGTTATGGCAATGTTAAGCAGTATTCTTGAAGTGTCTCAGATATATTTTAACTAGCAAAAAGAATCAATGAAAACGGAATAAGCTATTTAAATGAAAATAAAGTGACTCTAAATTTTTGACACCGATAAACTGCTAAGTGTTCAGGAACGTCAGAAAAAAAAGAAACAATCTGAAAATCAGAATCTCTGTAAACCAACGCTGTATCATGGTGATAGATGATATTTCTTGTGCTAAAAAATGCTTATTTGCTGCCCGGTAATGTTGAACTGCAGAAATGTTATTCGTGTTGAATTGTAGACTACCCTATGTATCCACCAAATCTGAAACTGTTCAAGTTGTCTGACATTTTTTGCTGACCAAATACAGAGTGAAAAAAAAAATGTATCAAAAAATAGCTGTAAAAACAGTAAATAAGAAAAAAAAAAAAAAAGAAAAAATGAAAGCCGTATTCTATTCTTTTTATTTTTTTCTCCCGATTTTTTGATATAACATTTTCAAAAAAATATCACACCAAAACTGTTACATAAATTCTGTTTACCAATGTATCTCTCTATACATTTGTTAAGAACACAAAAAAAAAGCAACAACAGTTTAACAAATATTCATCTTTATAAATTCTATAACAAAATCTTTTTCTCACCATTTCAATCGTTTTCAAAAAAAAATTTCTTTCTTTTATCTTTTCAGGTATAAATAGTTTTTAACTTTTTCATAAATTTGCCACGGTTTTTTTCTTCCTTCCTCTTACGTTTTAATTCTTGTTATAATCTTTTTTTTTTTAATTACATTTGCTGATTTTTGTCGTTTACAGCTTCAAAACTGTCTTTTTTTTTTGAGGATGGTGGAAAGGGTTTATTTAAGTTATTACGTTTGGTTAACTGTTTTTATTCGATAATACTGATTAGAAAAAAAAAAGCCAACAATTAGGCTTTATTATTCAATAAGTAAGAAAAATTAGAAACAGAAAAAAAAAAGGTGAAAAGAAAAACTAAATACGTTGCAAAAAAAAAAAAAAATACATTTTTCTAATAGACGTAAAACAGTGAAAAAATTTTTGACAGATATGGTTTGATGTTTCAAAATTTTTGCAATAATTTGACTTCTTCTTTTTTTTTTTTAATTACAAAAATTTTTTTGACCAAAGATTTTGCAGAAATTAGCAAAAAAAAAAAAACAACAACAAAGATTGCATCACAGTAATGCAATAACAATCTAGAACAGTCTATTAGATCGATCTTTCGCATTAAATTTTTTTAAACACTTTAACAAAAGGTCAGTACAGTGCTTATTCAACAAAATATTAAGCAAAAATTAAATAAATTAATAACATCAGCAGCAAAATTGCAAATAATTAAATCCCGAACTTCTTAAGGTCATAATAAAATGCCCCAGTCCTCTGTTAGCCATCTTCTACCTTCGTCCAGTATCAATTAGGCATCTTTGAAAAGCTAAAACTATGTGGAGAAACTATATAGCAGTTCTGTTGTCGAGTGATAATAAAACTGCTGCTAAAAAATAGTCTCTCAAAATTTTGTTGGTGTTTTTAGCCAAAAAAGACAGAATTATTTATTAACCTGATAATTTTTTGAAAATTTAGTAATTGAATAAACAAAAAAAAAAAAAAAAAAAAAAAAAATTT